TTCAGCAGGTGTGTGTATTCCAGATATCCCTTACAAAGGATCCATGTGCTAATTAGCCCCACGCTCATGACTAGAAGTGGGTGTTCTTGTCATGAGTCCTGCTATCCTCCAAAAATATATAAGCAGATGAGGCATAGGGCAACCTGTTTTGTCACTGCATCATGGAGGGCAGGGCCACACTAATATACTATAGGTTGAGAGAGGGGCTGATAGAGGGATTCTGGATAAACTGGGGCCCTGTTTGGTGATGCTTGCTAGATACTGAAGGCTAGTGAAGAAACAGGAGTCATTAGAAATGGGTAAGAAAGGCTCAGCTCAGCTGTGAGAGAGAAGAGGAAGTTGAAGTATATGCAGTATAGTGGCTCACCATAACCTGAAAAAGAGTCAGCGCTGAGGTGGACTGCACTCACTGGGTACTACTCTATATTTTTTCAGATGAGCTTCACCAACATATCCTTGTAGATTCCCATCAGCATTTTTGGGGAGGGTGCTGGAACAAGGTCTGGTCTCTCCAAGCATTGGCTTGATATTGCAGTATCTCCAGGGCTGGTGCTCATTGGTTCCTGCAACTGCAAAAAAGTTCCCACCAGCATGTTTGCCCCAAGCGGGCCATGCACTTTATAAACATGCTCGGTATTATCTGTATTTAATCTGCTTCATTGTTGGTTTCTGTTACTGAGCACATGCTGCTTTTTGCAGCAGTTCTAAGATAGGCAGTGCATTTAATGTGGTTTCCTTGTATGCAAATATAAGACAAGGGGGTTTTTTTTCTCCAAGTTGATTGAAGGAAAACACCTCGTCTTATATTCGAGTAACTGTGGTATATCTTCGACCTGTTGCTTACTCCATGGCTTTTATTCATCCTCAGGGGTCTAACTTTAGTGTCCAAGCACAAGCAGAGGGTAATTTTCCCATTCTTGGGATGTGGTCTGCTTGGCTCTGTTAAAGTGCTGCATTCAGTATTCCTTTTACCTCTTAAGGCAAGGGTATACTACATATAATTTATTATTTAGTAGTTCAGTTACAGTATCACCTATCAGCTATAAATATAGCCTCTTCAGATAACAAAATGTCTTCCTGTTTGTACTGGTGATATGACTGCAACCAAGCTCTGTAACCAGGATAAATTCTGGCCCATCCAAAATGTTATTCCAGTTACAGAGCACAGTTGAAGTCAGGGCCACTTCTAGTTGTTTCAGAGGACAGCCTGTCTGTAATCAATTATTAGCCTAACTTGCTTTATTTTGTGGTGTAGATGGGTATTAAGAAACCAGCCATGTTTCCTGTGCATTTAGTATGCTGAAAGAGTAGGCACTCACATTTCAGACCTTGTAATAGTTCTCAAGCAACCTTTGGGCTAGATTCTGTTTTGATTTACTATCAGACCTCAATTACTCCACTCTCTTCAATGAGGTTATTTCACAGGAGGGAACAAGAGCAGCACAGGCTGTTCACTATGGAATATAGACGGTGGTAGAGTTTACCACGATGTTCCCCAGGCCTGTAGCCACTCCTGCTGCACTCCTTCCATATGTTCCAGAGAGCATTCAGAAATGATATTGTTGGGTATGGCAAACGGATTGTATCAATTAGAGGATGAATGCTGCTGTTTCTGAAAGAATTGTGCCTCCCTGAGGCACAATCTCTGTCTACCTACCCTCAGGACTATTTGCACCATTTAGCCTTATCCTTAAGCATAAAAATGGTTGAAAATATTCAGAGGCAAATACACTTTGCTTCATAGAAACAGGCACAAACCAGAAGTCTGTTTCAGAGATCCCAGGCTCTGTGAAATAGTGTTGCATGACTAGTATTCAATTAAATGATTAGTTTCTATGACTGGCAGATGCAATTTGGGCAACTACTAAAATTAATGGAAAGTCTCTGGTTAATTAGAGTGGGCTTCTGTGTAGTTTGAAGTCTAGGGGGCTCTGGAAGAAGAAGTCTTTACCTCCAAAAGCATTTGAAAGGCTACTGAGCAACAATGGGAAACCTGTGGTACAATGAGAAAGATCCATATTCCCCAACCCCCCAGTTCAGAAACATATTCCCCAATCCCCCAACCTTGGGGATTATTCAAATGTAGAGTTTAAATTTGGTTAATTTATAAAGGAGGTATTTATAAAATTTGGATCAGATATGAATTTCAGATACCCTCTGACTTTTGGAGATATTCAGATCCGCAGCTGAGGCTCTGCCTAATATGGGGCATGTTGTCCTCCGGGCAAAGAAGAAATGTTTATATCATATTAAAAACTAACGCTGTTTATTTTTTGTAAAAATGTTAAGTATGTCTCATGATTCTTTTAAGTCCACATTCTGTATTACAAGTAAATGGAAAGAAATGCAAGTGGTGGTGGTGGGGTTATTATTATTATTATTATTTTTTTGGTGAATAATTTGTTTGCCAAAAAATGTAGTTTCAGGGACACCAAAAATTGTTTGCCAGTATCATCAATGTTTTTTGCCTGAAAAAATGGGAACATTTTTGAGAACATCAAAATATTTTACTTCAGCTTTTTGCAACAGAATGGTTTGGGGGTTTTTTTTCATTTTGGAATGATGTTTTTATTTTGAAACTAATCTAACGTTAAAAATGATAAAAGAATAAAAATAATCACAAATGGTGAAGTAATCCAAAACTAGAGAGAGGGAGAGAGTGTTTTGGCTTACTTCACCATTTGTGATTAATTTTTTCCTTGATTGGATTGAATAGAACATTTAGAGTTGACCCAAAACAAAAATGTTCTGCTTCCGCCTCCCCCAAAACTTCCATTTTTTGGATGACCCAATTTTTTTAAAATTCAGTTTGGGTTACTGAACCAACAATATCTGTCGTTCACATGGCTCTACATATAGAATAGTACAACTATTTCTATTTTGACTTGCAAGATCCTCATTCTGTGCTCATCTTTTGAGTATCAGTGCTTGTTAGCACTGTGTTAGGTACGTTCGGTCTCCCATTGAAATGAGCCTTGTCATTTTTATACAGTTCCCTTGTGCCAAATGAGTGAAGTTGTTAACCACAGGAGCATTCCTGTGTCCATGCCATGTAGTGTGCTGAATGCTTGATAAGGACTGAGACCTTAATCTTGCTCCTAAATTCTATGGGAAGTCAGTGCAGAGTTGAGCAGTGTGTTGCCCTTACCAAAGGCTGTGTTGTGGAGGAGACATGCATTTGGCAGTAGCTGGAGTTCCCTAAGACCTGAAGTCATCATGGCCATGCTGCTGCAATCCAGCTGAATGTGTGATGTAGATATCAGCAAGTGAGGTCACAGTCCCAATCAGAGATGACCAAAGTGTGATTTGCAGATGCTGCTATGCAAGAGGTTAGCACCAGCAAGGAATCCAAGAGACTAAACTGGACAATTGTGTGTGTACATCTTCAAGCAAAAGAGACTGCTGTACTCTTCAAGAATCTTTCCTCTGCTCACTAGTATCACCTCTGTCTTGCCAGCTGTACTTCATCCATGAGCTGATCTTGTCCGACTGTCTGCTTTGCTTCCTGTCTACCTACAGTGCTTTTAGGATGCCAAGTCCTGTGGTATCTAGGTTCATGAATCCTGTAACTACATAAAACTGTTTTCATAGGCTTATTTCAAGGAGATACAAACAATGTTGTGGCAGAAAATGAAACTAGAAAGAGGTGATAAAAAAATAAGAGGGCACCTGGACACAAAACCTATTTTTCAGTATTCTTTCTGGGGTTCAGTTTTTTAGTGTAATCTAGTGGTTTTTCCAAACCCTGATTAAAAAAAAAAAAAAAAAGTCTAAGAATTTGTGTTGATGAGTGATGGGCTGTTTGGACCCCCCAGGGAATATTAGCAAATACAGGCACATCTGTCCTACAATCTTCTACTTGTATTTTTGCTGCATAATTTACATTAGAAAAAACGTATTTGGCATGACCTGAGGGTAAAACTCAAGTTTGGCACTTAAAATTGCATGTTTTTCATATTCCCCAAACCCACTAATGCAAGTTCCTCAACCTCAAGTATGTATCTCAGGGGTATGGTAGGTCAAAAGAGTTAGTCAGTTGGCTTCTAAAGAAATATTCCTGGCTTGGGTCAGTGATAAAAAGAAAAAAAGTGCTATCCAAGAAAATCAGGTGTGGAAAATCCTCATTATTGGTACAGGAATAGGTGTTATGTATATTTTTGGTTTTAATACACTTTAACTGCTGCTGCTTTGTGGCACTCTATATTTTGTGTTATTGTTTGTAGGTGGGTCTGGAGCATATCCAACTGGCAAACTAGATATCCAACTGCAGCACCACAAATATATACAGTTCACTTCTTGTGCATTTGTGTCATTTCTCATCATTGCCTTGGCCCTGGAAAAGCATCTTGTGCAGTTGGATCCTAAGATGTTGACGTAGCCCCCTGTGATGTGATTCAGTATGGACATAAGAATCTACTTGTGGATCTTTTCGGAGGACTGAGGCTTTATTTATACAAGTCTTTCCCAAACAACAAGTCAGAATAGTGTATCTAGTCTCATCATAGTAATAAAATAAAAACAAAATTCAAGAACCATTTTGATTATAAATTAGCTTCAACATCAGATCATTTGTGAAATCACAGATTTAAAGGCTTTACTTGTTGATAATAAGAGGCGCAGAGCCAGAGTGGCTATTAATGTTCAGTGTCTGATGTGCTTCCCATACCAGAATCTCCATTGCCAAAATGCATTGGGTCTAGTAAGCTATAGAAATCGATTGATCATTTTTAAAACAGTTGTATGGATATTTTTGTCTTTGTTCCTCTTCTGTTTTGCTTAGTTTCATTTCTTGTCTTTGAAGGTGTTTCCTACTTTATTTGAAAGAAAAGAGGCAGTCAACCCGCAAGTGACCTCACAGCTTCTGAAAAATCTTCATGGTAAAGGATAATCTGGGACTCCCTGTTGAAGAGCATAGTGAATGTTGTGAGTTATTAACTGCAGTACTATCCTTTGCAATAATGTTTTTTGGTATGGATTTCTGCATTGCGGTGTTTAATGGGGTCTTGGCTATTATGAAGTTTTGGGCACCTTAATTCTTGTTGAAGCAACTAGAGTTTCTGCTCCTAGACAAGATGCTTTTTAATTCAGTTTTTAAAATTCTGCTTCTAGCATAGAGGGAACAGACCTGAAAAATGTTGTTGGGTTTCTTTTTCATGAGAGCGATGCCATTTGGCTTAACACAGTTAATTATACACTGCTCTCAGCTTCTCAGGTAAATGTATAAATTCTGCTTATGAGGGGCTTATGACTGTGTGGTTTAAAAAGAAAATAATGATGTGGGGGAAGGGTCATCATGCAGGATATAAAATACAGGAGTATACACACTCAGACACACAATTTGATTTAAATACTTTGTTCATTTTCAAGTGAGAAGAAAGCAACTTTGGGCACTTTTTTGTATCCTTTGTATCAAAAGTAGTGTATATATGTTATTTTGATAAGGATGTTGTTTTAAAAAGTGGCTCTCGTATAAATTCTTTCCTCTCCTTATCTCACAAATGCCCATTCATGCGAATGAGAGCTTACGTTTGTGTATGTAACGAGGCAGCTAAAGTATCAGTCCTGCCATCTTTAATAAATGAAAATATTCCCATGAGGAAAGGAATATTCCCTTCCTCAGCACAAATGTTTTTATGTTCAGCATCTTTCTTTCTGTGTTAACTGCTTTCTGGGCTGTGAAGGGCAGTCTATGCAGAAATAAATTTCTACCAATAGGCTTGTGTTTCTTATGTTCCCCTGTCAGGTCTGAGTGTAACTCATGTTCTTGTCTAGGAGCAAATGATCAGAATTCTGGTGTTCAGAAAATGCAGGAGTCCTTCTGCCCACATTAATAAGATAGCTACAGTTTCTTCCAGAGTGGGCAAACAAATTTCATTTTAGTAAGCCCACTTGAACATCCTCTAAATTGTGTGTTTAAATAACAAAAATTATTACTATGGAACCCCAAATCCAGTGGTTTCTGCCACAACACACTTCTATTTTCACTCCTGACTGTCCAGTTTTTCTTAGGAGGTTTGGAAATGCTTGAGTTTCATAATTGTAGCACATTATAATGATATTGAAGTCATCCTATCCTCTTGATATAGTCCAGTTTACAGTCTTAAACTAAGGCTGCTGGATGTAGTTAGAAATGTGCATGTGTGGAGCTGAAGAATATAACTAGAAAAGTGATTTGATTTTTAATTTATAATGGAAAATGAGCACAATTACTTTATTTCCCACTGGATGTTTGCCCTTTACATCCAGGTACCCATAAAATGATATTTTCAGCCAACTCTAAAGCAAAGCTGAGGAATGGGAGTCAGTGAGCAGTGTTTCATGCCACAAAGGAGAGACACATGGCGAGGCTTAGCAGAGGTTCTTGAATAATTCTCCAGACGGTCCTTCATTTTGCTTCAGGGTTTTACGATCATTAAGAAAAATCTCCATAATCCTCCCAAAATAATTTAGCTGTTGCCAACTTTGCAGTTCTGAACCTGACATGAGACCGTGAGGTCTGATTATAGCCTCTGGTTCAGTGGGGCTTGCCCTCCATCTCCCTGGGGCTTACATATTTCCCTTTGCTCAGCTGCTTCTTTCTAGGTTGTTGGCTTCATGAGTCAGACTGAGAGAGGAAATGAGTGGGAGCCCTCTCCCAAGGGCCACACACAAGTAGATGTCAGATTAGATTTTGAAGATGCTCAGAGCTTAGTTGTCCTTCTCTTTGCTTATATTTTTCGCTCATCAGTAAAATACTTTATTGTTCTGATTATAAGTTGACCTCAATTTTTCAGGTTTAATTGTAGAAAAATCTTCTTTTCCTCCTGAATTGAAGTTGACAACTGTAGATGAAGGCTTGGAACTTTTATTGCCCTTAAAATCTCTCAGGAGGATCAAATAACCAAGGAAAGGACCCCAAAGTGTTAAATGTACTGGAAAACACTAAAATGAAAACCGCACTATAAAAATTCTGACTTGGTATTTTCATTGCATTTACAAAATACAAAAAAGACTTGTCAGTACAAAAATCAAGTCTGAGTCTGTTGGGGGCCCAATTATAGGACAACCCTATGCATAAACTGAGTGTGGGTTTGTTTTTTTTTATGGTTCTTTTGGAGGAAAGAAATGATAGACTTACAATCAGAACAATACATTAGCTAACAGTATTGATATCTTTAACTAAGAAGCTTAATAATGCTAATTAATAAATAAAAGCAGCCTGTATAACTTATTCCTTTAAGCTTTCTGTATGTTCAGATAGACGTGGCTGTATTAGGTACCCTGTCTTCACACTTTGAAGGTTCCTTTGCAGCTCTAAGGATTCACTTGCAAAGGAAGAGTCTAGGGTACAGCATGGCAGTCAGAAAGAAAAATGCCATGTTTACTTGCATACAAAACACCCTGAAATCAGATGCACAGCTTGTTTTTGGAAATCAGAATAAAGGAAAAAAGATTTTTTTCCAGCGTTATAGCAACATGGAGCAGGAACAGACTAAAATGCATGCAAGGTTGTGAAATAAGAGAAGAAAGACTAGGAGTAGCTACCAGATGGCAAAACTGCTGGAAGAAAGGTTAGCTAACTAGTGAAACATTCAGAACATTAAAAAGGATTTGTGATCATTGACACCAGTGGAGTGAAGAACAAATGAGCCATTAAGTCAATTGACTCCCTCAGCTGTCTAAAAATAAATGCCACTGCTGTTGTCGGGCAGTTGGTTTTGGAGCAGGAATCAAAGCTTTTATTCTGGGCAGAAAAAAACAGCTTTCCTGCTTAGGACATGCACCCCTATTATGGGGAAAAGATGCATGTAAATGTGGAACTAGTGTGCAAAGCTGCAGGGATAGCAATAGATTTTTCTTAGACATCTCTACTGAATGTCATGGTAGGGGTATTTCATGGAAAAGGGAGTATTCTTCAGAGGACTGTGTGGATTTCCCTAACCGGACTAGCCCTGTGAACTCTCCTGGGGAGATAATCACGAACAGTGGTAAAATGCAAGGTGGCAAATAAGGCAACAGCACTAACTTAGAGGAGATGCAACAATAGCAGCCATTGCTGCTGCCACTGCCCAGGGTGCAAACTTCCTAGTTATGCCTCTGATCACAAATCATGATAGAGGTTGTAGTATCTGTGCAGTATAGTCCCTGTCTGATTACAGTCTGTACCATCTTAAGCTTCTGAATGAAGGCAAAGGTGGTCTCCTCTTGGATACATTTTATGGGTCTCCTGGTCAGGTGATAAAGACCTGAGTAACTAGGGTGAGGCCAGTGGTTTGAAAGAGTCTTGTCAAGGCATCTGGGAACAGCAGCTTTTTGGGGATTATTGGTAGTGGATGGAGAGCACTTTAAAAGTCACCGGGGGGGCGTGTATCCTGTCACACTGTTTCATCTTAGCAGACAGTACTGCAAGAACTGGAGGCAAGGAACCAAGCGCCCTGCCTTTCCTAACAGAGACCAGAACACATGTAACAGGGATTGGTACTTGTTTAGGAAATATGATCATCACCTTGGTGTTTTTAGAGCATCATTGTTCCCTTTTTACTTTAGTTACAAAGATGTGTGCTCATGGTCCTTTCTTTCTTGTGTCCTTGTGACGGGTATTTAGCAGAATTCACAGGTTCATTCAAATCCAACGGGCCTCCACCATGAGTGCTTCTGTTATAGCCTCAGGGATTTATTTGGTAGCCATGTTGGTCTGAGACAAAAAGAAATGCAGAACTCTAGAATGCTTGGTTGAGAGAGACCTTTTATTAGACCTACTAAGCCTGAAAGCTTGCAGAAAAAGGTAATTTTTTCTGCTCCAGCCTTGAACTCTCAACCTCAGAACTTCTAGCCACTTGTCCCAGTGTGCATGCCACCAGAACAGGGTTATGCTTATGGCAAGGTGTGTTGAGACCAATTGGGCATTCTCATGATGAACAGTAGTTGTTCTTTTTCTTACAATCCATCGTTTCAGCACCAGTTCCATTTTAGAGACAAAAATACATGTGAATTAAAACCAGGACAATGTATCCACCTAGAAACTTTGTTTAATAAACAGTACCATTTTTCTCCCTCCCTTTCTCTCCCTCCTTTCCCTTCATTTGAATGAAACAAAATTCTGGGCTAGTAGAGCAGTTTGCTTATACAAATTAAGTCCATGTCCTGCTTTTGCAGAGAGAAAGGGAGCGGTCATGAAGATCCCTTAAGAAGGAATGTTGTTTCTCTCTGAGGGATAAATACAAAGAAAGGTAGGGGGTTTGCTCCTTCTGTGGTAGCTTGTGTTTTCCAACATAAGATTCTGGACTGATGGTTTCCCAGTAGGGTTTAGATATGCTGAATTAATGTGGTTTGCCTAAGCCTTGCAAATGTGCCCTTTTGCTTTTCAGAATGCTATACACAGGGTTTGAAACATGCATGCTCTTGCAAGAGCAAACAATAAACTCATCATGTCCCTTGCTGAAGGTATTTCTTTATATTTGTTGCCCTGGTGCCAGATCTCCTTGGCACAGTTTGTGAGAACTGGAAAACAAATACCGAAATCATCTGTGTGTCAATAAGTAAAATATCCTCAGCTGGTCTCTCTCTGTCGCAGTTATTTAGAGCAAACTGCAGATGGCAGGCTAGTAAACATCCTTGTTCCTTGCTGTGACAGGCTTTTTAATGCTCAGCTTTGATGGTGTTTGCCTTGTGGGAGTGCAGTCTGAGCAAGGATCTTAAGATTAGCACTACCAAGTTTTGCACCAGTTCTGTTTCCTTTTGGAAGCATAAACTTTCCCTTCCCTGCTCCTTCCTTTTTACTGCTCCTTGTATCCTGGTCCTATTTCATTCATACTCCTCCACCCCGCCCCTCCTTATTGCAAGCTGTTTTTTCTGGCACCTTCACCTTTGGCAGGGGTGGTCAATGAGCAACTCCTCCTGGAGCTGATGTCAGTGCTGCTTCCTGAATTAGCTGGCAAGGTTCA